ATATAATCAACTGCCATAGATTAATCCTATTGCCATAAAAAGGCTTCCTGAAGATGCTGCCAGGCGAAACGTACGTCGAATAAATGTGATTCCGTCATATCCGGGCTCTGGTGATGTCACATCCGGCCAGAACAGAATCATTTTAATTGATTATACAGGCAATACATGCTGGTGCTAGCTTCATATGCACTTCAATATGTGAGTGTACAGAGTTTGTTTATAATTTTTCTGTAGCTTCATTAAATAGTACGGCTTTATTTTCTCTGATTTGTTTGAGTGGTATGGCATAACCAGCAAGGATCACCTGTCATAATCCCTTTTATACATTTTTTGGTAAATATATTGGCAATTTCACGTCAGTCTTCCTGGATATACAACTATGAAGTGTGGGTGATGAAGACCTTGTTTGGAGGAACCTTAAGAGAATATCTTGGCTTATAAAACACAATGTGATATATGACTACCGGAATGGGGTCATATACAGTCTGAGTGAGTGAGCCATTTGTTTGCCTTTGCACCGAGGTGTGGATACATGGATCTTCTTGTCACCATTATTGAACTTAAAAAAAAGGAATATATTACACTTTATGTTTATTTAGCACGTGGTGGAAGCACAAGGACTTTTTATGGGAATAGGACTAATATATGGCTATTGATTATATTGTTTGATGAATAGTTTACCAATGGGTTGTCCACCCACAGATAACCAATATCCAGCAAATACATTGGGTTCACTTGGGTGAAATCTTGCTCATTTTATGCACAGCACCTACCTATTTATTATTAGTTCACATATAAGTGTCACTTTCACTTTTTAGGGGCAGCTGCAAAACCCAGAGCGGGTAAATATTAATTAAACACCAATTTATTCTTCATTATAAATTTTTTTTTTTCACTTCTAGTATTCCTGTGTTATCTCCAGTGAAAATGGGACTTTGTATGTGTCAGCCACTGGGAGGATAAATCTGTAATATCACATCGAAAAACAGTAATAAAATTTATATATACGTTTATTGCTTCATCATTAATAAACAAAGTCACACTTCACATTTTAAAACCAGATGGTCTTCAGCATGTGGTTACATTCATATAGCGAAAGGATGCACAATAAGTTTATAGGATCAACGCGTTTCGCTGCATTTGCTTCCTTAGGATCTACGCTTTTAGATGAACCACTAGTATTGACTGCAAGTATATCAAAGCATTGGACTTTAGTAAACAGTGCTTAGCTGTATATAAAGCGAGGGTCATAAGCTCTCCTCAGGATGTTCCTCTGTAGTAGAAGTCTGGAAAAAATATATATATGGCTCACCAACAGCTACAGGCTCAAATGGCCAAACCCTGCTTCCACCACACAGCTGAATATACCTTGCCTTCCACTTGCTAGCTAATCACAAAAGGACTGGCCACCAGGCCTCAATACTGACCAGAAACTGCCAGAACATCTATCCAAACTGCCTGCACCCTTCGCTAAGACCAAACAAAAGTTGATCCTATATGCCTATTGTGCATCAGTTTGTTATATGAATGTAACCACATGCTGATGTTAACTTTAAAGACCATCTGGTTTTAAAATGTGAAGTGTGACTTTGATTTTTAATGATGAACCAATAAAAGTACAGTATATATATTTTGTATTACTGTTGTTCGATGTGATATTACAGATTTATCCTCCTGGTGGCTGACACATACAAAGTCCCATTTTCACAGGAGATAGAACAGGACCACCCGGTTTGACCAGATGCAACTTTACACTCCAGTTTTCTGTTCTAGATTTAAGGAAGCTTACCTGACAGTGCACCGTGGCAGTGTACCGCTGAAAGGCTTCAATTCAAGGTAAATCCTTCATAGTGTGCTAGTATGCAATGCATACTAGCACATTATGCCTTTACCTTGCAGGGGGTCCATATGCCTTTTCCTTGCAGAAATGCATCTGGACTGCGATTCTATGGTGTAAATCGGCCCTAAAAGAAGAGAAATGTACCTGTAGCCGAGACTTCGCGCCAAAGGCAGCTCAAGAATCTTTAAAGGAACATTCACTCTTTTGAAAACAAATCCTTCTTTTGTCTTCAACTGTTCCTCTTCTTAGTCTGCTATATGAATATCTATAAATATTGTACTTTTTAACTACCAAAAGTGTTGTCCTTCACTAAAGCTTTCATTCAGGAAAAGTAGTGGTGAAAAAAAAAAGACACAAGTTCAACCAATCTTTTTTTTATGTATTAAGCCAGCTATAGACTACTCGAAAACCAAACATTCCGGTGATTGAAAAGCTAAAAACTTGTTCATTTTATCATACGATTGGGACATCATTTGTTTAGTTTTTCTAAAACAAATTCAGCATGTTGGATCAGGCACTTTTGATTGTGGCATGAAAATCACATGTTGCAGCTGGCACACTAATGATACAAAAGACGAACAATCTGATGATTGACAAAAGTTTTCGTTTGGTTTTTGGCTCATCTATTGCCTGCTTTAACTCTTCATGGGTCATGTATCTAGGGCCATGACAAGTACATGCCCTTTGCCTACATAAAGATAAAAGGTGTCCCTCTTCCTTATCTAATAAGTTTGAATAAATGGCTAAAACCTCTGGAGTGTATCTGAACACAAAAACAATAAAAAAAACAATAAAAACATGTTACATCACATGTTCAATTATCAATGTACACCTGTGCCCAGAATTTAGAAATTAACCAATTCAATTTTACCCCCTTCCTGCCCAGGCCATTTTTTCAGGTTTCAGCGCTCTCACACTTTGAATGACAATTGCGCGGTCATACAACATTGTACCCAAACTAAAATTTTATCATTTTCTTCACACAACTAGAGCTTTCTTTTGGTGGTATTTAATCACCGCTGAGGTTTTTATTTTTTTGCTAAATTAACAAAAAAAGACCAAAAAGTGTTTTAAAAAAAACACGTTTTTCTTTGTTTCTGTTATAAAAGTTTACAAATAAATAATTGTTCTTCATAAATTTAGGCCGAGATGTATTCTGCTACATGTCTTTAGTGAAAATAACCCAAATTAGGATGTATTATTTAGTTTGTAGGAAAGTTATAGAGTTCAAAAAACTATGGTATAGATCTGAATATTGATCAATCCTGAAGTACTGACAGCCAATCTAATTTCTTGAGGCCCAAGAATGTCAGAACAGTACAGATATCCCCCAAATGACCTCTTTTTGTAAAGTAGACAGTCCGACATGAGGCATGGCGAGTTTTTTGAAGTTGTATTTTTTTTGTCATAAATTTTTCGGAAAATGAAAAAAATTAAAAAATTATTATTTTCACTATTTTTTTTTTACATAATGTCACCAGTGCAGTACAGCGTCATCATATAACTGGCATAGCGGTGATCAGGGACACTGAATGGTGACAGTATGAAAAAAAAAAAAATATATATATATATTTTTTTTTTATTACTTTTTTTTTTTATTTTTTTTAAGATTTTTTTTTCATATTTTACTATGACCAAAGTAGTACAATGTTACCATAGTAACATTGTACTACTTTGGGGAAGTGATCAGTATTTTATTTTTTTTACACAATTTCCTTATAGCAAAGAATTACTTTGCTGTAAGCAAGCATTTGACTGAATGACATCGATTTTTTTTTTTTGTGCTTAGCTGTGATTTGGCCACAGCTAATCACATGACATGTGCATGTGATTAGCTGTGACCATTCACAGCTAGACACTAGTATACAATGGATGGCATGAATGAAGCCATCCATTGTATACAACTGTCATGTGACCTGCTGTGATTGGTCACAGCAGGTCACATGGTACCGGCAACGGGGCCGATACTCAGATCTGTCATCGGCCATGTCCGAGGTATACAGATTGACAGATTGCGCCGCTGCACGGGCTCTGCAACCGCGCAAACTGCGCATGTGCGGGAGGACGCCAAATGGGGTACACCCCGGAAAGGTAATGCATTTTTGCGGCCGCCAAACGGCTATAGGCTGGGCGGCAAATGGTTAAAAGAGAAGTTTGGGGTTTATGAAGAAAAATGTTATGCTGCACTCATGGTGTGATCCTGCTGCTGTCCCATGTCGGCTCTAAGATCAAGAATCGAGTGATCACATGACTACTGATCACTCAGCTTGCAATCTGCTCAGAGCAGAGAGTGGTGACTCAGTTACCGTTCTCCACTCTGCTCCTCCAGTACTCACTGGAGCACCAGGCTGGGGAGGGGGTGGATGCAGCTACACGCAAGGCAGAGACAGCTGTCAGACAATATTGTTGGGATTTTGGCCATAAATCTGTCTTAAAGTATTTACATATTCTTAACATGCCGAAAAGAATTTTAAAACAAGACATTTCTCACTATCTAGATGTTTGTACTGAAGAGAAAAAAAGTCATTCTCAAAAATCCCTAAAAATCATAAAGACTCTAAAGTCGGGTTTCAGCCACTTTTTAAATACTTAGAGATATGTGGTGTGCATTTTCATTAAGGGGCTGGCAAGCTGCCAAGCTTCTACAATGAAAAATAATATAATAAGATATCAGTGCCATTGCTTGAAGAGGAATTTCTCCACAATGACTTTAGCTACAGAAGTAAATGAGGGTGTGTTTTAAAATACTTTTACCACTTGTTTAGAATATGTAAATACTTTAGTGTGAATAGTCTGGACACAGGTTCACTTTAAAGGCATAACAGTTGATTTACCTTAAAGGGAGAGTGCATGGTAGCCAATTAGCTGCTAACGCTAGCTTGTTCAGTTAAAGCAGAGCTCTACCCAAAAGGGAAAGTTCTGCTTTAAGGACTGCAATTGACAGGTACCCGCTCCCACTTCTGCTGCGATCACCTAGACCAGAGCTTAAATTACAAGTCCTGAGCTACTAGCCATGTCTTAGAGTTACTCACCACCAACAAGCACACACAAACAGAGACACCTGTACACACACACGGACATGTACATACACACACAGAAACATGTACACACACACACAGAGACACATGTACACACACACATACAGACACATGTATACACACACAGGCACATACAGACATGCATACACATGTACATACACAGAAATACACACGCACAGACACATGTACATAGACACAGACACATGTACATACATACACAGACACATGTACACACAGACACGTGTACATACATACACACAAACACATGTACATGCACACACACACAGACACATGTACACACACACATACATGTACATTACACACAGACACATGTACAGATACACACATGTACATACACACAGACACATGTACAATTGTACATGCATACACAGACACACACAAACACACACACACACAAAAAAAGTTGCAGTACTTCGTTGTTCACTCACAGAGCCAGGTACTGCACTCTAGGGGGAGGCAGAGAGCACATCACACACTCCTTCCTTTGCTTTCACTGCGCTCAGCTATTGAGCAGTCTGACAGCTCCCAGTGCCAATGACAGATCCGGACTGAGCTCCGAGCCTGCTCAGCAAGACGGCCCTGGGGGACACGCTTGCCCCCACCATAATTTCCACTCGCCGTTGGCGAGCAGGCGAATGGAAATTTCAAGCCCTGGCCTAGACGATTGGAAACGGAAGTTGTTCTCCCCCCCCTCCCTCCCCATAGTCTTCTGGGACATGTGACAAGCCACAGAAGACCACAGGACCATTCATAAAGCTCAGCACTACTTGCGCATGCGCAGTGAGCACCCATCTGTGAAGCTGCAACACAGAGCAGCCATGAAACAGGCTGTGGGGGGGCCACCACGAGATGAAGGGACAGGTAAGTGTCCATTTTTTTAAAAGTCAGCAGCTACAGTTTTTGTAGCTACTGACTTGAATTTGTTTTATTTTCACTGGAACTCCACTTTAAAATTTGACAAAAAAAAAATCCTGGAAGTTGATTGGTTTCTGTGCTGAGTTGCACCAGACTTTGTACTCTTCAGTTTTAGTAAACCAACCCCATAGTACAGTAGTGTTGTCCTTATTTTATTTATTATGTTAAGAACTAAAAAAATGACATATAAAAAAATAGTCAAGTAAATATGAAATATAGCATAATAATTATATGTATTAACTCCTATAGATTTTCCAACTGCTTAAAACTGGAGGGTTTTTTTTTTTCTGTTTGCAGCTTATAATATTAAATTAGATTGCAATTAATAAGTGTCAAAACTATTTAGACAAGCTGCTATACCTGCAGTGAATCGTAAAAGTCATTTTTATCTTGTAAAGTCCACTTTGTCAGGGATCTTGTTACAGAAGTTTCCTGCAACTTATGGTTGCTAGTACAGCACTTTTTTATGTTGACAGAAAGCCAAAAGAAGTCAATTAGGTCTAGTACTTCATTAATGATCCCCACAAATCACATTTATAGCAAGGCTCATATTGAGTGCTCCACTAGACAGTCGCTTTCAGAGATACAGTTTTGACATATTGGTATTAAGGCTCTGCATACAGCGTTGGGATAATTAACTTTTACTTTTACTATAGTGAATTCAAGCAAGACTCTTTAAGACGCTTGCCCAATTACAGGCTCTTTGGAGTCCTATAAGCTTATGTACATATTAAAAGGTGGGAGAAAATGTTGATAAAATTGCTGTGTGGCACAAACTGCTCGACTATTAAAGGATAAAAAAGAATTAGCGTTCAACGTTAGATTTATTGCAACCTTCTGCTTCATTTTGACTTATGTTAATTTCCCAAGGTAAGAACCCATGGCACTCTTAGCTGTATGAAATGAATGTCTGTGTTCCATTAGGAAGAAATTGTTTCTTTCAAATCAGATGCTTCATATCATTATTTTTATGTATTTTATGTGGAAAAAGGCAGTTCCAGTCATATCTTCCTTTGTGAAGGGAAGGACTTTTTCTGTGTCCCCTTCCAAATATTCAGATTCTCCAAGTCATGCACTGAGGATATATATAAAATAAAATGGTCATTGTGGTCAGATTATTGACAAGTGTTAATTTAACTTTATGAATCACAACTAAAGAAGACAAACTTCTGCAGCCATTCACCTGACTTGACCCCTCTATAGTACATGATTGCCGAATATTAATCTGGTGGCCTGATAGCAGACATACATGTGTATTTGTGAATTCCTATGGCTAGAACATGCTGCTCCTTCAGCTACATCACCAACCTGGTCTCAAAATATCAACCAAACCACTCTCTTCGATCCTCCCAAGACCTTCTGCTCTCTATTTCCTGTGTCACCTCCTCCAATGCTCACCTCTAGGACTTCTCCTGAGCTTCTCCCATCCTATGGAACTCTCTACCCCAATCTGTCTGGCTGTCTCCTAATCTATCCACCTTTAAATGATCCCTGAAAACCTTTCTCTTTACAGAAGTCTATCCTGCTTCTACCTAGTAAACCGCCATTTATTTCCTCCATTAGCTCATCCCCCCCACAGCTATTACCTTTTGTATCACTCAACCCTTCCTCCTAGATTGTAAGCTCTAACTGTTTCCTCTTGTACCAAATTGTATTGTAACTGTAATGTCTACCTTCATTTTGTAAAGCGCTGTGCAAACTGTTGGCTCTATATAAATCCTGTATAATAATGATAATAATAATAATAATAATAATAATAATAAAAACTCCCAAATATGCTATCATGCTCATCCTTGACTTACCTCTAAAGAATCTCTCATCTGGAGAAAGCATACAGCAAGTAGAGCTGGAAAAGCTGAACTCCTTTTCTTGAACAGTTGTTTTGGAGCTCACTAATGTACAGAAGCATTTTCAATACTTTTAATGAAAAGTCAGCGGTGGTAGCTTCCATATTTTTTCCACAGGTTCCATTATAGTTAAGTTATTTGTATAATCAAAGTTGTTTTGTTACATTTGGATAGAGTAAATAGGGATTAGAACTTATGTTAGGATTTTTGGTTGTATTTGTCCTCACTAGGTAGATTCACCCTCTCTGGTATAGCAAACATTTTACAGTTGTCACTTGAACAAGGGTAAGAGTAAATCTTCCAATAGAGACACCTTTCTGATGATAATTGTCAAAGACCACCACCAGCACTCCCACACTTTGATTTCCTCTCAATTCTTTTTGAGTCACCAATCTTCCTAAAAATACACAGACAGACAAAAAAAAAAGTTTCTGTTCTAGCCAAAAAAGTTGGCTATAGATACACTTGAAGAGCTAAAATGCATGTGAACCTTAATTTAATCAATTCTAAAGTCTATGTTTAATTTCATTATTGAGCCTTTTTATATCTTCTGCATCCCAAAGAAGTCCAAATACCCCACCCCTTAGACTCCATGCATGCAGCACTAGATGGCGGTCAATTGACAGTCTGTGAAATTAGAGCTGTTGGCTTGTAAAATGTATTCAGAATATTTTAAAGTGTATGTATATCCAAAAGTTTTATTTTTAATTTTTGATTATGGAAGGGCTAAAACCACTACCCAGTTATTTTTTGCTGTTTGTGTCTCACTAGAAAAATTTACCTCGCTTCCTGTCCTGCCCTGGAAACAGAACAGTGATGTTCCCATTGAAGGCCTTTTCCTCCTTCGCTTATTTTATTTCCCCTCACTTTCTTTTTTGCTGACAGTATTCACCAGGACAAATAGAGGGTGAATCCCCCAAGTGTTGACACAAAAATAAAAAAAAAAACTTTAATAAAAGTTGAGGGATACAATTTTTAACCTGTAACAAAGAATCACCAGTCTTAGCTTTGGCAGCTCTCCAAAAAGCAGGACCTCCCAGGGGTCACCCAAATTGAGAAGTCTACAAGAAATAAGAAGCTAAAAAATTGTTAGAGTTCTAGGAGCCTATTCACACCTATGCATCAGAGATTTATCTTCATTTTACTTTACTTGTGATATTCAATGGACGTTGTAACATGTTATGACATGCCATCACATTATTTTCTCACACCTCACAAGGCTGTAGAATGGAACGAAAATCAGATATGTGATATTTTCCAAATGGTCTGCAAACAGCGCAGAGATGTAAACACCACACATGAACACCACACATTTATAACATTAGGACGTGTTTTTGTATTGCAACGGCACAGCATAAATAGGCCCTAACTCTTCCCTACTCTATCCAAAACCTAAAAAGAGGCAATGACTAAAATTTACTTTGTGTTTTCTAAATAAGAAAGGGTCCTTTCCTTTAATTAACAGGGGCTATATTTAGATACTTTAGCTCCAGATCTACTTCAGCTATGGACCTTAATTTAATTCAGCAATAACGTTGAGATTTCTTTTTATCGGCGACTGAGAACATAATAAAGATAGGGTTTCAACACAACAGCCAGTCAATTTGAATTTTCAGAAGGAATTCACTTGGGTCAGCAATAGGAACATATTTTACTCAAGACAAGTTTTCTCTAACCATGTAACTCCTAATGATTCATTTAGTTTTTTTTTACATCTGCTAAAGTTAATCTTTTCTTTTTCTATTTTTTAATTGAAAATACTTTCTTTACAACAGGTCCACTTTAGTATCACTTACATTAGAAAGTGGCTTTTTTTTTTTTAAGTGTTATTCATGTTTTTTTTTGGGGGGTTGGGTTGTTTTTTTTTCATTTTTAACCCCCACTCTTGTGTTTTTAAAAAAATAAAAATAAAAGTTCTTCTTACCATCTCCACTCTGCTGTGCTGTGCCCAGCATCTTCCTCAGTCAAGAGCTGGCAGTTCTCTTTAGGCAGAAAAGTCATTCTGCCCTTTTCCTGTGAGCTCAGACTGTCATTTACATGCCCACTGAGGCTGTGCTCACAGTAATCCAGGACTGACAGATGCTCACACATAATTACATAAGAACTGCTAAGTCAAGAAAGGATACCTGCAGCCCTTGGAAAAAGAAGCAGAACCTGTCATGATATCAAAGGACTGGCTAAAAGACTTCAATTAAAAATGTTTAGCACTATCCCTAGAGGAGCCACTGAATTGTCTTGTGATTTCATTGCACACCTGAAGATGACACACCTCACTCACATAGCACCTGCCAACACACCTTGATGTATTTCAAATAACTTATTAGGCCAAGGATAGCCTAAAAGAATAAAGTAATAGCAAATGTACTGATACTAACAATCAATAAGACAATCATGTTATTCTAAGAGATGTGGTTTAACACTTTCTGTATTCTGACTAACAGTAATTAACTGAACTAAACTGCATTTACCAAGCAACAGTATATTAAGACAGTCCTAACTTGTTTTTAACAGTCTCCATTTTCTCAAACTGGCTAGTTAATGATGAAAAAAAATGTTGGCCAGCACAGCTGGGGCCCTTGAAGAAAGCACAACAGTTCCAAAGATTAACTTGTGCAGTGTTGGTCTCTTACCAGACCCAGGGCACCTATTTTGAGTGTTTGAATACCTGCTCTGTTTCAGTAAAAGTCGAGTTGAAGTCAGACAGGCATAGAAGTTGCTGTGATTTCTCTCTTTCAGTTCTGCTGAGACAGACTCCCTTTTCCTTCCTTACAAGTGGTGAGAGTGCTCTCTAGAACAGTCCAATCACACCAGGCTTCTAAATCACACATCACACCCTCCCAGGCAGAAAGTTCTCACTCTCTGAGACAAAGTCCTGCACAATTAGAAGTGTCTTTGTT